CTCCCCGAATAAGTAATCCCCCCTCCAAAAAGTCCTTTAAGGCCCACTTCTGTGCGTGACACTGATGCGACGTCTCAAATCAATTAGCAAATGGCAGCTGAGAAGGAAGTTGTGGGTTTGTTTGGGGTTTTTTTTTTCTGCCAAGGAAGGGCACGGTAGCACTCAACACACTTCAAAATACCGTGAAACCTTGGTTTTCGTATGCCCTAGTTTTCGGCAGAGTCCGAAAATCTACCTTTTTTGAGAAGGGTCACAATGAGCCAAGTTGTGATTTTCATACGGATCATGATGCGGCCTGGACGATATGGCCTCAGTCACATCCCAAATGGATTCTCCTCACGTAGTAATTCGCAATGTAAGCGTCAACGTCTTACAACGGAATTAACTCCAAATTCTGAATGGGTTGTCCGATCCTTTAGCAAATCTAGAACAAACAAAAACAAAAAGTCAAATGAGATGTACTTTTGAGAACATTTATTGTGCAGAGCTCAAAAGTCATTGAAAATTCAGCCCTGCATTGTGGAAATAAAGAACAGTATCGATTAAAAATATTGATTATACCGTATATTAATATACATTTAGCCTTGTAGGTCCCTCACAACTGACTATGTGGTAGCACACGAATTCATTTCCGGGATTCGGACGCATCGTGTGTTTCCTGGCTAGCCATGTATTATTTTCTCCCCGGGCACTTATTTACCTGCTAATTTGTTATTCATAGTTTGTTTTTGTCCTGCGTAATGCGCTTACATCAAGACCTTGGTGAAAAATGTACTGTTTCTATCAAATGTTTGTATTTTTTTGTTTTGTTTTGTTCATGTTTTTGGGTGTGTCGAATGGATTCATTAGATTTATATGATTTCAGATGGAAACAACCGCTTTGGTTTTCGACTGAATCGTTCTGCAACCGATTCATCAGGAAAACAGAGGTTCCACTGTGGGGCAAAAGTGTCCTTTTTTTGTGTGTTTTTGCCTGGAGACAGCAGCTTTTTGTAGCAAAACCTGGGCAAATCAGCAGACCGCCGACGTGGCGACAAACGATCTTTTCAGCACAATCAATGAAAATTGGTCGTGTACGTCCTCAAATAGCGGCCGCGTGTGTTTGCCTCGAAAGGAGACGGCGGCAGGCTTTATCTTTAGAATTCATTTTTATTAAAAACATGCGTACATTTTCTATAGAAGCCTCGCGAGTAGCCGCGTTTACAAACAACAATTGGCGCTGCTGTTTTGGGCTCAAATGAAATGACCACAGTTCTTACCATTTTTTTCCCCACTAGTGGGTTGAAAAAAAAGGAGGCAACTTTTAATGGTCTATTTGAGGAATGTGTTTATAGATCTTAATGTCGAACCTCATGACGATGTCCTTGATTCGAAGGCGGGCCATTAAATGAGGACATATGCTGATTGTTGAGAAGATCAAGTTTGAGAGCCTCTGTGCTTTCCAGTCACTGTGAATGAATCGATGTGAAACACGCTTCAATGTATTCCATGTCTTTATTATCAACCTTATTATTTATCACTTCATTGCTGATGCTGGACCTCTTAAAATTGACAACCCTCAGGTAAACATGAGTTGATATGTGTGTGTGTGTGTGCGTGTGCGGCGGGGGCAGAATTTATCAGATTAAATGAACTCAAGACTCCATTCAAAAGTCTCTCTCCGTGTGTTTGTATATTGTGTACACTTAATTTATTGTCGTGTTTTGCTTTTTCTTTGGTTTTAAATTTTGGGGAGACGTCACACATTGCAGAACGGAGCAGCTCTAGACAGGATGTTACGATTTGGACGGAGGAAGTGCCAAGATGCTCCTTGCCTGCCCTTTGCTATGTCTCACGTTGGCGGTGAGTCGTTTTGATGTATTTTAGTTTTATCTGACTGACTTTAACGTTTAAATTCATTTTGTTCATGTGTTTGTTGACTGTCATGCATGCTGGGACCCTGTCCAGTGCATAACATCACTACTATTAGTGCTGTATTGGTGAGCTGAAAGATGAGTTGTGGCGTTGTTGTGAATCCCACTGGTGTTTGTTTGTTTGTTATTTTTTTGCAATCTGATTAGTTGCTGCACCCCAGGCAGGTTTGAATGCAGTCGTCAGTTCGATTGCATAGCTAAAAATTCAAGCGGGATTCTTCAAAGTCAAAATGAAGAGCGAATCAGTCCGTCTGTCTTATACTGCCCCCATGTGGCCAAAGTGGGCACACCAAAAGCGGCAGCATTTAATGAAGACAGTTTGACAACTTTTGAATACTTTTCCATTCTACAGTATTTATGTCATTGTTGTATTTTTTGAAATGAAGTGCAATATAACGGGATGCTATTTTTCCTCATTCACAACCTTTGACACAATTTTTGCTTTTTTGGGGGGTGCTGTTAATAAATAATAGTGTCACTGGAGACTCATATGAATCAGAAAAGATGGTTTGAGATGTGTGATTTCAGTTGCGAGCATGGCAGCTGAACGAATTACACTCGGAACAAGGTACTACTCCTTGTATGATGCTATTTTGTGGGGGGGGGTTGCATAATTATATATTTTTTAACTTCACATATTTGTAGATTTTATTTCATGCAATTATTTGATTAAGTGGTATGTGAATATATTTAACTAGATTTGGTTAGTATGCTTATAGGCATTTTCTATATTTTACATTCAATGATGAAACATCCCTTTAATTTTTAAAATAAATTTTATGGATTCATATTTATTGAAAATCATTTTGCAATTTTGCTATTACATTAATCTGAATTAGATTGTGCTTTGCTTTCATTTGCTTCTGTTTAATGCTATTCACGTGACTTTATCAGGTTCAACTTTTTATTCTCCCTTTTTTTTTCTCTCTTTCCCCCTCTCTCCCCGACCGACCGCAGGCGAGCAAAAAAAAAGGAAAAAAAAGGTCAAGAGCTTTGAAGGTGAAGTGCGGTCACCATAGTAACAAATGTTGTCTCCGCTGTCGTCTAGCAACGGGATGTGCAGTGATGTCAATGGAAAGCATGCTATTTTCTCCACCCTGACAGAATGTCACTGCTGTGTGTGTGTGTGTGTGTGTGTGTGTGCGTGTGCGCGCGCGCGCGCACACGCACGCCCTGCTGAGGGAATGGAAAAGGGGTTTCGATGTTGACATCCCCAGGAGTCAATGATAAGCTAAAATATCCCCCCTGGGACGGTGAATCATGTGCCAATTAAGGGTCCAATTGATGCGGCTGGAATCTTTTTTTGGCAGCCGACACAAAGCACAATCATCCTCTGCATTTGGATTCAAGCTCGAATTTGACTCAGGCAAGATGTGTCATCACACTGCACATCACTTTGGAAGGCATGTCCTCTACTGTTAACCAATTAACCAATTGAAAATCAGACATAGCTTTTGAATGGTAGTTCAACAGATTTTTTTTTTTAAATTTAAACAAAGTCAGAAAACAGGCCTGGACAAAAGTGATGGTACGCTTAAGTTAATATTTGGTTGCACCACCTTTTGGAGGCAGTCACTGCAATCAAACATTTTTTCTAACTTTCAGATTTCTGCACTTCTCAACAGATATTTCGGCCCACTCTTCCAACGGCAACCTGCTCCAGTTGTCTCAGGGGTGAAGGGTTCTTTCTCCAGATGGCATCTTGAGTCTTGAGATTTCATTGTACCCTGCTCACAAGACACCCTATGCCAGATGTAGCAAAGCAGCCCCAGAAGACAACGGGACCTCCTCCATGTTTCACAGTAGGGACAGTGTTCTTGTCTTGGGATGCTTCATTTTTTTTCCCCATCTGTGAACATAGAGTTAATGTGCCTAGCCAAAAGGTTCCAGTCTTTGTGATTGTTTGAGTTGTCCTCTGAAATGGCCTCGCTTTGTTGAGGTTATGCGGGGACAACGCGAAAAAAGACCGCAATGAATTATAAAGCAGGAGCTCTCGCTCTCTCTCAGCGATGAAAGATGGAGTCTCCTTGCACACTGTTCGTCTTCCAAACACACGTAGTATTTTCAAAGTCAATTTTGAAACATCAGTGACTGAATAATACTTTAATCAGCGTTTCAGAGAAAGGGAAAAGTGTATGTTTTATGTTTTACACTGCTCGTTTTTGGATGAAACAACAAGTGCATGTTTCTGCGGAAATCTATGCAAAGGTTTCACAGACCATGCTCGAGATTGTCTCAAACTCTCCCGTTAACGCTGTTGGCACTCAAAAAATACACAAATTTAAATTTTCAAGATTACCACCATTCATCCCGATTTAACACAAAATCAAATTTGAACTCCAACAGCCGGAGTGTATACAAACGTTGTTGCACCTGTAAAAAAAAAAAAAAAAAAAAAAAAAAAACACTTTTTGTGCATTTTGGGGCACTTTAGGAAAAGTAATCACACTCAGTGACGATGTGGGTGTGGGCGTGAATGGTCGTTTGTCTCCATCCGCCTTCAGATGGGGTATGCTCTGGCAAATCCCCGCCACCATCTTCAGGATAAGCAGCGTTGGAGATGATTTTTTTTTCTTGCTGTGAAATGCCAAAAACGAATCTAATTTGACACAAAGATTATATTGAGATTAAGACGTGCATTTGACCGTGCGGTGCCGTCGTTTCCTCCTCAACAATGAAGGCTATGAATAACCCTTGCAAACATTAAGTGGGTAGAATTAGAACGAATTATCCTAACTCTCTATTTATAAATCCAATCAAACCTCTTCCCTCGGATGATGGTGATTGTAAGGACGGGACGAGGGGGGGATTAAAAATCATTTTCCTATTCATTTTCTTTTTGGCTCAAGGGAGCGACATGACGGGCATGCATTTTGCACAATGACTAATTCTACTCTGTGGAGTGCGTCATATCCACATCAGGTCTGCACGGGATCAAGTTGGAAACAGGTCGTGGTGTTCTACTGCCACCTACTGGTCCCCTATCCCCAAAAATGTTGAAAGACGAGTAAATCCCCCCCCCCCCCCCAAAAAAAACGTAAATGCAAACACATTATGGAACATTGACTTTTTAACGATGGTGTCCAAATAGCTGTGTGACTGTAGTGTCTGCTCAAGTGTCAAATCAAACAAATCTAATGTCTAGTGATCGGCCTATTTCTGAAAATGTGGTTGTGAGCAAGCCGAACGATAATTACACTCTACTGTAATTCGGCTAATTAACATTATAAGCACGCTAAACACTGTATTTAGTTTCACCAATGACTTGGCAGCAAGGCTGCTTCAGTTGTGAAGCGAAAAAATCACGAACGAAGGCCAATTGCGAAATCCAACTCACTAGTTGAAAATCTAATGAATGAATGCCACAGGGCCCTGGAAAATGTGTCACGACACGACACAGTTACGCTCCGAAATCAAACCCATTTCACCCCGGCAAGAAGTATTTCGTTAAAACAAGTGTGATTATTTTTGATGTTATGACTTCTGGGAAAGAATTCTAAACGGAGAAAAAAAAGTACCTCCATACTGTATTTGCTTTTTACAGCTAACATTTGGACTACCCGTAATCGCTAAACAATATGGGAAATATAATCTAATGTCAACAATTTCTTTTTTCATAAAATCGTCCCCAAATACAACGGCGCCTTAAAATACAAATGACCCGTCTTACACTAACTTAATAACTTAATGCTAACACAGTATCATGGAAAATACCAGTGAGATGCTAATGGTTTGCATTGATAGTTGTGGTTTTACAATTCTTTAAACAAGAGTTAACATAACTGGAAGAAAAACTCATGTAGACGCTGAGTAGGAAAGGAAGTGTACAAGTTCTCGTGTGCATGTCTGTACAGTATTCTAGAGGACTGCCTCCTGGTGGCCAATACTGGTACACCAGAAGAAGTAGCAACATTGAATTACTGTATACTGAACTGCTTAAAAGCTTTACATTCTGTTTAGTTTCACAAGCAACATTATAGAGTTCTGTGTTTCATTATTAAGAAACAAAAACAAGAGTGTTTTATTTACGATCAGTGTCACGTAACAAACTTTTGTGTTTCAATATTTCAAGGTGCCACTGTATTGTTTTGGATCATTTATCATAAAAGGGGAGATGAAATGACTCCAAAAGGCGGGCTTAATCTCCAAAAAGATGAGCTACGTGCGTTGTAAAAAGCCGATAAATTCTGCAAGCTTTGATGTTGATCATAAACTCAACTGAAAGTCAAACTTTTTATTCGTGGTTTATTCACCACGGAGGCGGGCTGATAATGTGGCCTGTCTGACGAGCCTACAATGCCTTGTAATGTAACGGGCTCGCGTATCTGCGCGCGCTCCACGGTGACCACTTAGCAACGTTAACAGCGAGAAGAATGCAACGTGATTAAACCCAGTGTGAGAATAACAATCACGTTTAGCTACGATGACGTCAAAGGCGGCCTTTCTATTGTCGCTAGTGAATTACGCTCATAAAAGAAAAGTTAGAGCTGGAACCAAGGCGGGTGATGTCATGTTAGTTGTTAGCAATGAATTGTTCGTTGAGAAGTCGGTCGATTGTGCGGAGTTGATTGGTCGGGTCTTGAAGTGACCGAGTCGTACGAGAGCGGGACGTCGAGCTGTGTCAATGCTACGCGAACTCCATCGATTGAGCTTATTCTGCTAGCTGACATGACACTGTCGTTCAAAAGAGCCAAATTATGAAAAAAATATGGTCTGTTTATCATGTTTTGAAATGACCTCGGAATGTAGACATTGAGATACGTTAGTGCTATGACATTATCCAGCTTGATGGGACAGCCCTGTCGTAAAAACACGAGTTCAGGGTGGAGTCATTTATGATGAAGCGACAAAAGTCAAAATGCACCGGGACGTTGAGCTATGAATGGAAACATTCAGCGTGTGTTCCACCGTTCGCAGTAAAAATAATAATATACAAAGAAAATTACATACATAAAATATGATTGAAACGAATTTGGATTGGAATTGTCGATCCACCGTGTCAAAAGTGAGCGAGTCACAAACTACTTCGAAGCCAGGCTAACTGCTCCGAGGTGTGTGGAAACAGGAGTTCAGAACATTCCTTCCTGGCAAAAACCAGAATTGGTTTAGTGATCATTTTGGTTTTCAGAACACGATTCTTCCCTCCAATTAAAAAAAAAAAAAAAGATTTTGAAAAAATACCAGGCAATCTAATAATTTTGAATTTGTTCTGAAACTATTAACTAATTGTGTAGAAATGACAGAGTCAAAATGGAGTCTACTGACGTGTGAAAAGAGGAGTTCAAAACATTCAGGAAGCAATTCTCAACTGTATATATTAATAATCAAATAAAATTAACATGTCATCGGTTCATAAATTGGAACTGTCGCTTAGTTGTGCCTTAAAGCACTACAGAAGCACAGCGGGTGAGGAAACAAGAGTATAGAACATTCAGGAAGCAATTCTCCCTTCTCCATTAAAAACAAAAACAATAACAGAAAGAAAATTGACAAGTAATCAGTAAACTGGTCGCTTGCTCTTGTCTGGCCATTGAGTCCGAATGAAAGCGCACAGCAACTGGAGGCGTTGTCTCAAGCAAGTGTTCATTTTCTGCACCACCAATCATGAAAGCAGAGTCAAAAACCTACCCCTGATGTTTTTTTTTTCCTTTTTTTTTCTGTAACGTTGCTGAACAGATCGGCGAAGAAGCAGTTTGCCGTATTCAGGAGTTGTCCGAGGGCACGTGCTCCTCGAAGCCCTCGCTCTCCCGGACCAGCGCCCTCTCCAGGATGACTCTGCCCTCCTTGTAGCGCTGGCTGTCCTCGGTGGCAAATTCGTAGATCCAGCCCAGCTTGCTGTTGCAGTTCTTGCAGCTGACGTCTCGCACCATGTGCCGGCCCGTCAGCATCACGCGGTCCTGCACCTCGCTGTACTGAAGGTTCACCACCTGGACGCACACAATGCATGAGATACAACTGCACCATCTCGACATTTGCCCCTTTCATGCTGGGAAAAAAAACAAAATAACAATTACGCTATTATAACATATACTTCGTCCAAGCCCTGACTTACTATATTATACTGCCATCTCCCTACTTTACTATATTCAACTTTATTTACTTAGTTTGCCTGACCTACTGTGTGTGTGTTGTGGTACCTTGTTGAAGAGGAAGGCTCTGCCAGTGGCGCCCGTAAATCGGGTGGAGATGAGCTCGGAGCGATTGGTCAGGATGGTGTCACAGTTGGCACAAGAGAACAGGCGCGTTCCGCCGATGTGGTCCAGGAAGATGCGGCCCATTCTGACTACATTATCAAAAGCCGGAACATCACATTTACTTGACATTTTTTTTAACTGTCCAATACTTGAAAATGTCAAACAACACCAACCACAGGAAACTATTAAAATGCACAGTATGGTTTTCTCAATTTTAGAATATTATAAATAGTGTCGTACCTTACTTAGCATTCTTACATTATCCACTCCCATTATACCCTGCCAACTATATTATGTTGTACAATGTAACAGTCCTACAACTATACAACCACCTAACTTATTAAACCTTACCGGTTGTATTATACACTACTCACCTACTATGCCCTGCCTTATTTTATGCTCTAACAACCAACGGTAAACACGATTATATCTTACATAACTATTCATGAGCGTCTAATCACAAAGAGCGTAGGAAGCTAACGCCGCACTAGCCGCTTTTGCTAACAGACAACAAAAAAAAACCCGACATCAGCTGCGTTGGGGGAAAAATGGCTTTAAAGGCTTTTTTTAGACCCTGTCGACTTCTTACCGGCGTCTACGGCGCGCTCTCAAGGTCCAAAAGTCCCTTTCGGTACAATATCAGGTGGATTTTGTTGCGTTTTACACGGATATTCGCCGTTAGTTTCGTCGGTGGTTTTGTTGTTGATGTTGGCTGTACCTAATGAGGTGTCCGAGAGCACACACTGTCAACATCCGGTCCTGACGTCAGCACACCATAAACGTGCTGCTGGCCGCAATGTGACGACGCTACGGCAGGGAGGCAGCAGTGAGCAAAGACGAAACGTACCCACCAACCTACACTTGTAACGAATAAGTAAAAGAAAACGGGCAGTATTATAAAATGTGATGATCATCATTATCATCATATATTACATCAGTATCATGAAAAAAATATATGATTCTGAATAACCCCAAAACTAGTGAAAAGGAACTTATATTCAATCTGAAAATAAAATAAAGAGACCAACAAAACATTTAAATGATAAACAAACACAAATAACATGCATTTAAAATAAACCAAAAAAGTTGCAACGGTAAAATTAACAAAAATCAGGTAAAAATCAAAAACACGCTGAACTAAATGTTAAAACAACCTGTTGCAGCAGTTGCAACTTTATAGCTGATTGACCCCCCGCCGGTCGATGCTAATCTGATGACATGCCATGAAGATAAACTCAGTTTCCTCCTTCATTCCAAGGGTCGGGCTATCAGCTAAAATAATCTAAGTAGACCATAAAACATATCATATTCTCACCATCTCCAAAACTTAGCTGGAGTTTCACCGTTTGACTGAATTGCCGGTCGTTAACGTTTCAATTATGCAAGCTGTTGAAATATGCTGAAGACGGGTCACAAGTTGCAGTTTATTGACACATAGTTAAACTTCAACCTATTAAACAGATGTCGAGCTTTGGGACCTGTTTGTTACGTTGAAGTCAAGCTGGACAAGACCCTTTTTTGTTAGCTTGTTGACAGAGCGTATCGTACATTTACACCCAAATGACTTTTATTGTTCGTCAGGAAATGTAATCAAATCTCTTTGGTTACTATCACAGTGTCCCTACGCAACATAATGTTCTTCAAAAGAATGGAGCAGATCATATTTTTGTATGTACTGGAAATGCAGGTCATGACAAACTCGCGAAATAAGCAGTTTTTCCCAGAAATTTCAATAGAGACTCATTCCTAATATTTTTGTTCCTTATTTTGCAGGCCAAGAAGGGAAGGATGAGTAGGAGAGTGTTGCAGTCAGCTGTGAGTCTGCGCATGTCACACAGAGACAGATGAAAGCACAAGGAGGGTCGGGAATTTCTGTAGTTTTTTTTTTTTAAGTACAACTTGACGGCTTTGGGATGGCATGGCCAATTTAGAGCGCCTCGTTGTCTCCAACACGTGCACGGAGTATGTGTTGGAGAGAAGGCGGGGAAAAAAGTCCAACGTGAGAGTGTGTTTGGGGACCGAGGCTTCGAGCTGGTGTGGTCACTTTAGAGTGCCTCATTGTCATGGCGTGGAAAAGCCCCTCAATCACCTGGTCCGCTAGTTCCGCAGCAGAAACAATGGCTTAATTTTTCTCGGTTTGAGGTCTCATTTTATCTACTGGTCTTCTTTATAATCATTAAAATTGGAGAGGGTTGTTCACAAGAGAAAAGGAAAGCACAAGGGGGGTTGGGAAATTTTGTAGTTTTTTTTTTTTTAAGTACAACTTGACGGCTTTGGGATGGCATGGCCAATTTAGAGCGCCTCGTTGTCTCCAACACGTGCACGGAGTATGTGTTGGAGAGAAGGCGGGGAAAAAAGTCCAACGTGAGAGTGTGTTTGGGGACCGAGGCTTCGAGCTGGTGTGGTCACTTTAGAGTGCCTCATTGTCATGGCGTGGAAAAGCCCCTCAATCACCTGGTCCGCTAGTTCCGCAGCAGAAACAATGGCTTAATTTTTCTCGGTTTGAGGTCTCATTTTATCTACTGGTCTTCTTTATAATCATTAAAATTGGAGAGGGTTGTTCAAAAAATATTTGGAGAGAAAAAGTAGTTGCTTTTTTTTGTAGATGCCAATTGCTGTAAAAAGCTGAGAAGCAAAACTGTATCGAAGCACATAACAGTATTGCTGATACATACTGCCATATTCTGGCGAATTTTAGTACACAAAACAACAATGTTTGCATCCATATGATGTCACTTGCCCCGCATCCATCCCGAAGCAAGCCATGAATGATGCCTTCACCGTCAGGTTGAAGTGCGGCGAAGGGGCCGAGCCAAGCTTATAAAGAGGAAGGCAGACGGAGTCAACAGCCTCATTCGGTGAGGGAGTTTATCAGTTGGTGTGCTATCATGTCTGGATCTTCATGTGTAATTCTTACTCGGCTGCTTCTCATCAGCTCCGGTCTTTTGCTCTCAGGTTAGACAAGGTCATTTAAAAACTGTGCGTGTGCATGGGGGGTTAATTGAGATTTAAAAATTGTGTCAGTAATTTCAATCCTTCCAGGGAAAAAGCTTTTGTTTGTTTTGTATTTTAATTTGAATTATTTCGGATTGCTATCCCTTTCAGACACTGTCACCATTGACATCGGAGACAATCAACTATCAAGCAAGGTACATCAGATGGTTATCTATCTATCTATCTATCTATCTATCTATCTATCTATCTATCTATCTATCTATCTATCTGTCTAGCTAGCTAAGTAGCTAGCTAGCCAGCTATGACTATTTCTCATATCTATTCATTAATTATCGGTTAGTTCCTCATTTTATTGTATTTTTGTCACCCTAAATGATAGTTTATTTTGGGGATGTTTAATACCACTTTTTTTCCAGGCTGATACCAGTACAAGTGTTCACTCCTTGAGTACTCACGAAAACGAGTACCGATACCTTGAGTACTTTTGAGATATCACATTTTACTGAACACAATGACAAAAAATTGTGAACAAAGGCCTTTTTGACACTGTATAGCGCCAACTACTGCCAAGGAGGATTTACACGGGATCAGATTTTTTTTTTTTTTGCCTTAAAGTATCGGCGGCTGCTATCGACAGCCACAAATGAGTCACTTATACCTTAAAATAAGGCCAGTATTAGCCCGATAACGATATCTGGTATCGGTACTCGCCTCGCCCTAATTTATTGTTAACCAGCACGCACCAAAAAATGGTTTGTTTTTCCAGATTATAACAAAATATATTATTTATGCAACCAACCATTTTTCTATGCCTAATAATTAAAAATGCAGATCATGTGTCACAGGCAGAAAGCCACATGCCATTTCTCGGCTCCCCACCACCATCACTTGCCCCATTCACTGCTTCTTCCGGTAGGCAGCTATTACTGAACTTCATTTTTTTTTCTCTTTTCTGTTTTCAACAATCTCAATTTTGTTTTCCCTTCTCATCCCAGTTCATGCCGTCCGACCTGCTGATGTCTCAGCGCTTTATTGGCTGAGCATGTCACGCTCTGGCAGGTACACACGTGGAATGATGATAACATTTAAAAGAGCGTTTGGTCATTCTTTAACCACTCTTCAGTCAGAGGTTTACTTAAAAAAAAAAAAAAAAGCAGCTTCACAGCATCCTGTTTTATATTCATAGGAATGTGACGTCAAAGATTGGCGGTCGATTGGCCGGTAAGTAACCTTATGTTTTTTGTTTTTTTGTTTTTTAACCAAAATTACAATATTGGACATGTCACGTGAAAGAAGACAAATTTAGAGAACGAAATCCAATAAAATTGGGTAAAGTGTATTTTTCAAAAAAGGAAATGCAAACTTCCAAAAGTGTGAAACACATTCAAGTCAAACAAAATATAATAAAAATATCGGTTGACGAAATAATCGGTCAGGCCCTAATTTTAACAAGATCATTTACCAAAGTAAAAAGACATACATTTGTGAGTTGTTAATTAGCACAGCAAAATGCTTTTCCCAAATCGAAACTTGGAAAAAGGAAAATGTCAGTGTAAAATCTAAACTTACAAAAGCAAAAGCAAATGTCCGTCGTATTTGCTGTGTCATGAACAGAGCTACTGTCCATGTTCAACCCGGCAGCGGTCGCTGGAAATGTGGAATTCCTGTCGCAACCCGGGTAACCCAGCAGCTTCACAGCATCCTGTTTTATATTCATAGGAATGTGACGTCAAAGATTGGCGGTCGATTGGCCGGTAAGTAACCTTATGTTTTTTGTTTTTTTGTTTTTTAACCAAAATTACAATATTGGACATGTCACGTGAAAGAAGACAAATTTAGAGAACGAAATCCAATAAAATTGGGTAAAGTGTATTTTTCAAAAAAGGAAATGCAAACTTCCAAAAGTGTGAAACACATTCAAGTCAAACAAAATATAATAAAAATATCGGTTGACGAAATAATCGGTCAGGCCCTAATTTTAACAAGATCATTTACCAAAGTAAAAAGACATACATTTGTGAGTTGTTAATTAGCACAGCAAAATGCTTTTCCCAAATCGAAACTTGGAAAAAGGAAAATGTCAGTGTAAAATCTAAACTTACAAAAGCAAAAGCAAATGTCCGTCGTATTTGCTGTGTCATGAACAGAGCTACTGTCCATGTTCAACCCGGCAGCGGTCGCTGGAAATGTGGAATTCCTGTCGCAACCCGGGTAACCCCCCCCCCCCACACACACACACACACACACACACTCACACAAATGATAACGCAGTAAGAACCAGTGAATGTGTTGCAGGAGTTTGCAGCAAGAAGCGGAGCAGCTTTCTGACACCTTGACAGATCAGGTAGATACCGAGTCGGATGCTGTGTTTTCTCTCCTTTATTTACTCAACTTATATGAATCTAAGTCAGTGCTTTTCAACCTTTTTCGAGAACCGGCTGACCTCTGCATAGAGCAATAAGACTCGATGCTGTGCTCCGCCTCCCATTGAAAAAAATAAATAAATTGTCTGTACAACCAGTTGGGTCAGAATAACATAAAGTGCATCAAAAAGGCAGCCATATATAACCTGAATGATTAACTCAGCAAACACAAGAAGGGTCTGAAAATGGCCGACACTAAATGAGTTTTCATAAAAAAATTGTAATAACGATCCATAGTAAAAAGAGAAGATTATTTTTCATGATGATTATGATTTTATTTGTTAGGACTTAAAATCAATTTCCTATAAGAATAATTATAACACGATGCTATACCCCCAAAAAATCTTCCCATTTATTTTTCTATCTCTCCAATATGAATAAAAAAATAAATGCCTCCCTCAAATCGATGCCTCTGTACTGAATGTTTTTCTAGTTTATGGGCACTGAGATCCCCTGCAAGAACCGCCGTCCGTCTCCAACGACGCCAACGTCAGGTACCAAATATGATGCTCTTCATAAATGTCTATATGACCCAAACATTGGCATTTGAACATCATTTGACTGTCATGTGTAGTTCATGAGCTGAGACCAGCTGACGTCAAGGTGGTGGCTGCACTCGGCGACTCTCTGACCGTAAGACCATCGTCTTTGTTTTTGGTTGTTTTCCCCCAGTCTAAAATCAATCTCAATAATTCTATATGTGTCAGCACCAACAAATTTGAGAACCTGATCAAATATTTGATCTTTTTTTTTCCCCTTTGGATTTGGAGAAAAGCATGTATTGATCCATTTTCGGGAAAAGTCCACCAATCCCTAAATGACCGACATATGGATTTATTTGTGTATGTATTGAATAACGTGTAGGCAGGCAATGGTGTCGGCGCAAAGTCAAACAACCTTCTGCTGGTCATCAACGAATACAGAGGACTGTCCTGGAGGTAACGCCAGACTGGGCATTGAAAATATCAAATCTTTCATTTGATGCATAACTGACTCGGATTGTTACTTTTTCAG